CCCCAAAACCCCAAAACCCCATAATATTGAATCTGAGTTAAGTAGAATACAATCATAAAATCAAGAATAAATTGGGACTTAATTTTATTAGGTATTAGGTATTGATCATTCAATATTTTGATTGTCGGTATTTAATTCGATTCAAGCTCTAACAGTGAATGGGTAGACAGCATCCTTTTGAATTCCACAGATACCCTCTCCATCTACAATGGCAATTCTGACAAATCCATTTTCACCCCAGCTGGTACCCCATGAGTTCTTTACGATGTAGTATTCTTTGCCGTTCTCTGAACCGTAACCAACAGCGAGGACACCGTGATCAAGTTGAGTACCACAGGCAGTGCTATCCAAGATTCCTGATTAGTAGCCTTGGAAGACATATTGATCAGCTTCAATGGCGACTGAAACTGGACCTTGATTAATTGCAGTCTTAAGTTGAGCAGCACTGTTGGCTTCGACTCTTTGGAAGTTAGCAGCTCTAACAACTCCCTTTGAGGCAATATAGGAGCATTTTTCATCAGCTGCCAAGTATGGGTAGTCTGCTTCGGTCTCTAGTGGAGATTTAGTGGCATAATCAAAGGCAAGATACATCTCACCACCATTGCAACCATTGTTTCCATTGTGAGAGCAATCGACTAGTTGTTGCTCAGAGAGGGAGACTAGTTTGCCATCACTAAGGAAGAAGTGACCTTCAAGGGCACCAGTTGAGGAGAAGGCCCAGCATGAACCACATTGACCCTGGTTCTTAACTCCTGTGACAGCACCTTTTTGTCTCCAGTCAATACCCTCGGTGTTATTAGTCTCTTGCAAAAGAGTAGCTTAGAGTGAGTGTGAGTGGGATGATTTCTTGAATCCGAGGAGTCTCTTATACTCAGCTGGTGAGTAGTCAGTGAACTTGTTGATACCTAGGTGGTAGCTGACACCGTTTTAAGAGTTGTGTTGAGCATTCTTGGCGAGATTAGCCTAGAATTGTTGAAGTCTGAATTCGTACTCCTCCTTGGTGGCATAGCTCTTTCCGTACTTAGCCAAGTAGTTGGCGAAGACGATGTTGTCGTTACTATAGTTAGTACCGTAGAGTTGAGTTGATCTGGCTGATTCGTTGATGGTGAAGACTGCGAGGGCAGCGACAACACCGACTACAGCAATTGTGATTGATAATGATTGTCTCATTTAATATTAATATTTGATTAAAAATGAAGTAAGACAGAAAGTTTAAATAGAGCGAAATAGTGAGTAATTATGTCAATATTTATATAATTTAGATAATTTCTGACAAATAAAAAATCTTATTAAATTTGCTTAAATAATCTCTCTGCTTTATTTAGTCTTGAGGGGTTTTGGGGTTTTGGGGTTTTGGGG